TGACGCGCGCTACAATAATAAAACTTTAAATGAACTGCTATATCGATCGCTTTGATAATGTTATAAAACAATTAGCTCATGCTTCAACTGTGCGTATGTCGAGATGTTGAGCACTTGGGAAGTTTGGAGAGCACTCGAGAGGTTAGAATTGCTCTAAACTCTTACGCCTTTTTCGTGCTCTCCAGACTTCCCGCGTGCTCAATATCTCGACATACGCACGCTGACTCATGAACTGATTGTTCAATAGCAGTGCTAATCAAAATACGTTTATCATTTACTGGCTTTTTTAATTAAAGTGTTATAATAAATCGAATTCATTTCAATACATTTGGAACAGAAAACTCACAGAACGAAAAGGTATTCCCTTCAACTTCTATTTTGCGATTTTTTTGGTATGTAATAGGGATGCCGAAAGGACCTGATCGCGGGCTATTCAAATTCTAAAGCGAGAATCTTTCTCTCTTCTGTAGGGAAGAGTACCTTGGAGATGGTTATCCTTAGAATCGTTAAAGGCCCAAGTATACACCGCCAAAAGTGACGTGTAGGTGTCCAAACTGGTTTTATCAACGATCAGCTGCGATACTTGAAGCAATGATTTTTGACTTCATGTTTTTACATACCGTTTAGTCATATTCGATCGTGCATGTGAATGGATTTATTTGACTTGTATATCTTTCTGTTTCTTTCGTTTCCTTAAAGATGGTCCTATGGTATTGTCTTGTGGGAAATTGCCACTTACGGTGGGTATCAAATATTAGCAAATTTTTATCGTGTTCTCATAGCTGTTTCCCAAGCTAAATATGTTGTTATCTTGGTTGTTGTCTTCAGGTGAGGAGCCATACCCTAACATAGAAACGCCAATGGATCTCGTACTCTGGCTCTCCATGGGGAACCGGATGTCCCGTCCCAAACATAGCTCAGAGAAAATGTAAGTTCGCAAAGTAACTTAACTAAGTAGTATAGCAAATAAGGTTTCTAGGAGGGCGGATTATGCGGATCCACATGGTGATTAACATATGGTAATTGAGACAGGTAAATAGTGACGTCAAGGGATAGATGCTGTGTTGAAATCACTCAAGTTTAAAGAGGATAACTGATAATTATTTGGAGTGGGCGTTTTTTCTTTTAAGTTTCGTGGAAAGCGGAATGTCAAAGAGCAGACCTTCAAACGTTGTTAATTAAGTTAATTTAATAGCCCTTTTGTTTCTTTAGAACAAGTTCGAGGAAGGATCGAATATGTTGAATACAATTCTTGGTTCCAAATGTTTCGCATTTAAACGATTGTTGTACTTTCTGTCACCCAGCATTAAGCACAGTTGAGAAAAATAGTGTGGTATGTTTAAAAACGACCGAAATCGATATACTGAGACTTTGTTTTGAACTTGAGACAAAATATTTGCCGGTGCATTTTCTGTTCGATTTCAACTTTGCTTTCTCTGAAGCAAACATTTCTTCCATTCAAGACAGCGACCTCATTAGTAAAAACGTGTTCACATAAAAAGTTCAAGATGGCGACCTCATTATTAAACCCTGCTTCCATACTTTTTCTCTCACTGAACCCGCCCCCCATAAATTTACAACAACGGATGCTCTTCGATTACTCAGAGTTACTCTTATTAGCGCAAAGGTGCACGTGCCCACCCTTTACTCAGCGTTGCTCGGCGCTGCTCACTGATTATTCAGCATTGCTTCGAGCTACTTTAGAGCTGCTCTCAGTAGCGCTAATGTGTATACTATTTACTCAGTGTTGCTCTGAGCTGCATCATGGTTTTTTGACATTGCTTTGAACCACTTAGAGTTGCCCTGAGTAAAGCTCAAAAGGGGCTCACTGACCACGCAGTGTAGCTCTGAGCTAGAGACGTTGATCACTCAGTATTGCTTTGAGGTGCTCAATAATTTTTCACAGTTGCTCTGAGTTACTAAGGGTTGCCCAGAGTTAAGCTCAAAGGGGCTCACTGACCACTCACAGTGCCTCTAGCATTGCTTTCAAAGTAACAACAACAATAACAATGTAGTTATTTAAAGAAATATAAAGTTTACAATACATCATGTCCTGCAAATAGCTATAATGGTAATCTAGGGAGGACAAGACTTTAAATAAAGGTGTTATTAAATTACATAAGAAAAAAAGAAAAGAAAAGAAATGCAAAAACATACAGAAAGAAACACCTTTCATATAAATTCAAGTACAAGGGATTTTGTTATTTGAAAAAGACTAAAATTACAACTGGAGGTATATACAACATATTAGGTTAACTTCACAAAATATTCTATTAAATAATTAACATTCAAATAATTATCTTCATTACCTAGAACATTAAGGAGTAGTGATTTAATTTTTTTACGAAAATTAGTTACGTTAAGAGTCTTAACAGAAAGTGGAATAGAATTCCAAATAGACACACCGATTCTAGTAAAAGTAGTCCTGACTGACTTAACCCTAAATTAATTAAACGAGGGAGTTTTGCGTGTCCACTTTCCATATCAAACGTTCATCGAATTAATATGGCGAGAGAATGGTACATTTTAGCTATTCTGTCCGAGAGCATTTAGCCGTAAG